CATCATTTTACGATGATTTTTTGCGGAGTTACCGTTAATCAAAGTTGACCAATTTTTGCTCAAAATTTTTCTATGCCATAATTTTTTTGAGCAGTGTATATCTTATACGATACTTATAATATTTTGGTGATTCATCATCGTATGCACTACAAATTTTAATTTTATAATTATATTTATTAAAATTATCGGAATCGAACGGGATTCAGGATCCTCTATTCTCCTTCCCAGCACTTAGGATGCTGCCAAACAACGCTCCACTACTCTCATAACTACTCCAGTCTCCTAACAGTATCTAATCAGTTTTACAGCTTTACGTATTTCTCAGATCTGTCATTTCTTTCGATGATTTCCAAAAAAATATATTATTTATTGTTTGCTTTTCAATTCCATTTGCAAATTTTTTTTTATTAAGCGAAAAACCGTGGAAAATTTTCAGATCATATTGAAACTATATATTTGTAAATGTAATACATATCCCTTTGTCTTTCGGGATTTTAAATATTAATTTACCTTATAAGATATTTTTTATTTTAGCTAAATATATTTCGATACATATTTCGAAAAATATTCATTTTTGGTTATTTTTTATGATCTTTAAAACTAATGCACATCCAGCTCTAGTTATATTTCAAAAGCTACAATTAAAATAAAAATTCCAATTTGGTTAGTAACTAAATACTAAAGTATTTACGGAACTTATTGAGTATTTTATTTGAACAATCTTTCATTTTATTTATTTCTAATTATAATCCTCCAAGAATCATTGTCATATAGTCAAAGCCAAGAATGTGCAAAATATTTGCAAAGGCTAATTGTAAGACATACGGATTAATTTATGTACAAGGAAAATTTTTAAACAATTCATACAAACCTGCTTTTATGTAAATTCAACATTCCAGAATAATCCTGTAACTATAAACGAATGCTGTAAAATAATTTTAACGTAGGTACGAAAAATTACAGAAAATTATACTTAAGATCTTTTTATTACTGTATATAAAATACATCAACAGTAATTTATACGCATAGCGTAATATAACGTAAAAATTGTATAATAATTACATGTAAACTTTACTTTTATAGAATATTTCACGAATATATAATCAGTGTCTCTACAAAGAAAGAGCGAGGTACAATAACGTAAGCTCAATCCCTGACTGGAGAATTAAATTATGATGCTGATTAATTACTGATTTATTCATAATAGAATTGTTCCTTTATTTTGCTTTATTAAACGTCGTGTGATGATCAGGCTTCAGATTAATAGAAAGATTAGTATTTTGCATATTTACTGATCCCGACAGCGATGAAAGGTGGGACATATTTGAGGACGTTCTAGACTGCAGGTTGCTCGATGATAAAATGTTATTTAAAAACGGACTGCTATTCTGCCAACCGAATCGTTTTAGCAATAACCGTAAGGTTTTCCTTTTGCACACGTATAGAATGAAAATAAAGACGCCTTGCAAGATGTCTATCGTAAAGCTGATATTCCAAACCATCTCCGATATGGCATTGCTGGCATTGATCAACCACAATATTATACCCATACTCCAACTTAGTCCCATCACTATGAACAGCTTCAGGTACATAGTAAACCTATAAGCAAATATTTCATATATCATCTGTGATTATGATTACTATTAATTAAATAAGATACACAGCATCTGCCAAAACAATCAAGGTATACATTTATAAAAATAACTCTTGATCATTTTTAAATATTCTTAACAAAAATAATAGATAGTTTCAAACGAGCCAGTCTTTAAAAAAAAAGCTAAGAATAATAAACTTTTAATCATAAAAAGCTTCAAAAATTTTTAAGAAATGCAATTTTTAATTTCATAAATCATAAAAGTAAATTAGATCACGTAAGATTATTAAAAAATTAATCTCTTGTTAAAACACAAATTGCTACATGTCAATATTCAATCAATAAACAATCGCGAATAAACAATTAAAATCGTAATGTTGTACGGTATATTTACACACGGCGATTATATTATTTTGACTCTAATCGGTATTTTTTTCCAAAATTTTCTGTAAATCATGGATTTAGTGAATAAAACTTGAAAGTCCGACAAAATTTGAAATATATGCTTATTACAAGATCAACTTAATTTAATTGAACAATTCTTTTTATCAGAAGTCAAAATTCGAGAAATAAGATTATGTAACTTAAAATTATGTAAGTTGTGAAAAACAGTTTGTTATAAAGAATTTTTCACAACGCTATCTGGAGATTTGGGGCGTAATTAAAAAAAATTTTCAGCTCCACTGGATTCGTAAATACCATACTATTTAAGTAATAATAATATTTGTGAAATCTAGTTTTTATTTGCATAAGTAACGATATTTTTACTTTTATCTCGACTACTTTTTATGAAAAAAATATGAAATATTGACACATAACACATCAATTTATCGCGATTGCATTTGTTGACAAATTTTTCGACTGTACAAACTTGCGCTTGTGGTTATCGTAGCACCGGCTCTCCGAATCTCTCAGCTGACTGGCAGTATGTTTATTATGATACAGAATCGTTAGTGCCGTAACGACGAATAAGAAAACGTTAATAACATAAGCTGTACCCGTGGGTCCGTAAAAATACACCGTCATTGCATGATCTCCTAAAATAGAAAATGAATTTTTTGCGTTACGTTTATTGATAATATCAATATTTATTGATATTATCAATAAATATTGATATCCATCTAGAAGTTTAATTAAAAGTTGTTAAATGTAATCAAAGCCTTAATAAAATATTTCACTAGTTGCGCTAATAAAAATTCCATTACCACCAAACCAAAATTTTCTTGTGCACATTTTCGGTCGAGTCCAGTTCTTCGGTATACCGGGAGCATGATCCATAATTGCACTAGCAGCGCTGACAAGGAAAGTAGTTCCCCACGCATAGAGAGAGTATAATATGAATCTCTTTTTCTTTTTCTTTTTGTGTACAGGGCGCAAACTGAGTTTTCTGCAAAATGCAATTTACATTTAGCCGATAACATGTATAAATTATTGTTTAATATTATAATAATATGCATGCATTTGCAAAGAAAAATCTTTGTAATTAACTTGTAAAATAATAATTTGGGTAACTCCGATATATATCTACGGCGCACCTATTGAAAACTTAATTTATCAGGTATTATTTATTATGTTTAAGGTAAATGAACTATACTGAAAAAACTATAGACTATCTATTACAATGAGAGAAAAAAATATTAAGAATCCGAAATATTCATTTTTTATATTTTAAAAAAATTCCTTAAACCCTTGCATTTTTACCCGGCCACCAGGTGTGAGTTATACGGTTACTCACGGGGGGATAAATGATTAAAAAAATATACAAATAATCTAAATAATAATAATAAATAATAAATAATAAATAACACAATAATAATAATCAACTGACAACGTAATTTGCATTTACTTATTAATGAATAAATAAAGAGCGTATTATAACAGATTATGAATAAGTACATACATAAATATTATGATTAATGTATTGTAAAGAGCGTGTTATCACGTCTTATTATTTATTTTTATATTTATAAATAAATAATAGAGCGTCTATACTACGGCATAAATCCCACGCGCAAAAAATGCCGTATATCTCAAACAGATGAGATACAAGACAACAAACTAAACAAAGAATACAAGAGTTAAGCACTTGTATTTTGTTATACTCTATCCTTTACTATTCCTCTACACTTATGTACCACGAAATAACCACGAAGCCTTTTACACTTTCTGCAATAATCATTTTACGTAGGTTATAACTTACGGTTGCGCTACTTACTACAGTGACAAATCGATTTAACTTACAATAATTTTATTAATATTAACAGAAAATAAAATGAAGTCGTTGCAAGAAAATTACTTTCACTTCTTCCATTTTTTTTTTACTTCTGCAGCGTAAATCCTCGCCCGGTGTATACCGGAGTTACCCTCTTTAGATTTGTACACACAAACACATGTTATATATTATTATAAACATTTATAACAAAAGACAATGGGAAAAGTAACCAAATTTTGGCCTAAGCGATGGAACCTTTTTTATGTTTTCTTAGAGTTTTCGATATGCTGAATCATTTGCATACGTTTTTTTTCAAACTGATGTGGTGAAAAAGTGTTGAAAATCACTTCAAAGTAACACAGCTCCGAAATCTAAACAAAAACTCAAGAATATATAGCACTATCTTTTTTTTCTCTTTCTACCACCTCTCACCTTTCTATTTTTATTTAACCTCGTATCATTCATTCTGATATCACTTAATCATATTGTCAGTTTAATCGAACCCAGTCTGTTCCAAACTATTCCGCTTAGCATAACCCAGGATTAACGACGTAAACGTAGTGATTATCAGATTTGCACGCGCGCGTGTGTGTGTTTGAAAAACTTATTCTAAATTATTATTCTTCTCAGTTTAATCGTCAGTATAATATTAATTATCGTCATCATAATATTGAAATGTTGAAACAATTATCTAGATACTTTGCTAGTTCAGCGATGAATCAGGAAAGGAAACATTTCTAAGTATCGAATATAGGAAAAATATCATATACTTAATGATAGAAACATACGAACAATCAACTATTATCTACTCGATATCCTATTCTACAATTACATGAATGACCAATGATAACTAAAAGATCAAAAGATCCTTTATTAAAAAGAATATAGGAAAAATATTTTAAAGATTTTGTGTAATTTAATTCAAACTTTTGGTAAAAGAACGTTAATTAAGATATCTATATCTTGATATCTATATCTTTATCTGCCTTATCAAATGTTACTTTTCCTCAAGCAACTTCAAATTTGAAATCTTCATTGGCTTTCATGTGATCTACATAATAACTGCAATAGTTTTTCAATTGATATATGTATACCGCAAATGTACATATATTTGGACTTGATATTCAGTTTAGAAAAAACTACAATAAAAGATAATAAAAGATAATAAAAAGAGAAAAGGAAGATAAAAAAATGTAATACGTATTCTTGAATTTTTATTAAAATTTCGACGAAACTATTTTAAATATAATTTTCAACACTTTTCTTATCATGTCAGTTTGAAAATAATAACGTTTGCAAATGATTCAACACATCAACACTATAAGAAAACATGAATAAAGAAAGTTCTATCGTTTAGACCAAAATTTAATTTTTTTAATCGTTTTTGGTTTATAATGTAGCGATTTTAATAATGACGCAATATCTACTGGCCCAATATATTCCCAATGCATGCCAATATTTAACTAACACAGCTAATGAATTGCGCTACTAAAGAAAATTCTACATGCAATTAAACGTGCAAATTATCTTAAAAGAAAAGAGATTTTTTTCATAA